TTTCGGATTAAAACAGTGCAACCCTCGAGGGGGACTTCCATATTTTTGAAAGTATGAACTGTTGTTCGAAGCAAATATGGTCAATTTAAAACTGATTGATCGTACTAACCATAACCGCATGTTGGATATGATTAAGACAAGCTTTAAGGGGCAAGGTTGTTAAATTCAAAGTACTGATTCTAAATGGAAACCAGCAAAATTTGTCAATTGTATTCCATGAATTGGAAAAGGTCATGTTGGTTTTTTAGTGTTTCATGTGAGATGATTGAATCTAGATTCGAAGGATGAGATTGTTGAGTTCGAAGCCCTGAATTTGCTTGTAAAGGCAAACGGAGATAAAGTCAAACCATGCCAAACAAAGAGAAAAGTTTTAGCTGTACTGAAACAAAAGCAATTACATCAAAAGGCCCTCTATGGGTACAAATTCGAGTTCATAAAAGTAAGGAATAGAATAAATAAAAAGATCATAGAATTTAGTCCAGCTATGGTCAATAAATTTCTGTTCCTTTTTTATTCTATCCTCTATTTTCTCCAGGCTTGGTTGTTGAAGTTGATGTGCTCTTACTTGATAAAAGAGTTCTCCAGCCTCTATTTCGAACGCTGTTTCTTTTAACCCTTGTTCCGGCTCGTCCATATCCAAGTCATCCCAGTACGTAGAGTCTTTATTCTTGAAGTCATCATATTCTTCGATGAAGTTCTCTGCTTCGTACTGGGTATGAACTCGAAGGGATGAAAGTTGGTTCAAAGATTGAGTGGTGGCCACAGAAGTCCAGTGCCAATGGAGAAGCAACGGGAGTTGGTCCAAAAACATTTGGAGTTCTGCTTGGGCGATGGGGTTGAGGATGTGACCTCGAGTCATAATATCACAAGCCCATCGAAGGTTTTTGAGAGGAACATCGTCTTCAAGAACATTGAAAGACAAGTGAGAAAAAGCCGCAAGCAGTAGTTGGGCTTGCTTTCGCTGAGCTGGAGTAGGGGAAGGTGGAGGCTTATAAGGAAGAAAAACCTTGTCCGCAGAGAGGGTAAGCCTCAGTCTCTTTGTCCAGCAAGGATTTTGCGGAGGAGGAGGTATAGAGGCTTCCATTTGGAAAGGAGGAGGAAACTGAGGGGCATTTAACACAATCAAGCCAGTCAGAAGAGCAAAGCCTCGCCTTCTGGGCTAAGAATAATGGGTTATACCCTTGTGCCTCTTCTGGGCGTCGGGTAGCTTGTACTATCTTTGTAAGCATAGAGGATGTGTACCATGCTACAAACAGATTGTCCTCTAAACTGCGTCGGAGGTCGATGGGCACGTAAGGATAAACGACCGAACTTCGAGCATCAGAAGGGAATTCTAGAGGATCAGTGAACTCAACAAAGTGGTGATTAACTCGCTCTTTTAACTCATATGCCTCAGGTTCCGACTAGCTTCTCCAACCAGAAGCCCCAGAGGAAGAAGAAGCCACAGCCTCGTCCCATGCAGAAGATTGTGGATTAGAAGAAGAACTTCCCATATCCATATTTACAAATTTCTGAATCAAAGGATTGTGGACAGTGTGTTCGTAGTCCAAGGGTTGATAATTTGCAAAAGCTTCCATGACTTGAATATAGAAAGGTGGGTAAAGGTGGTTAATTAATGCATAAAGGTTCTTTCGAGGAAGAACAACATCATCAGATGACTCCTCGTATACTCGATCAATAAAAGAGAGAATTGGTTTGGCTATAAAAAATGTACTAGTCTGTTCGAATACTAAGGTGGTAGGGATGTTCAAAAGATTAAAAGAGAATTTAATGCAAATGATGAATGACGGTTGCATTTTTAGAAGAATGCAAAGCCCATGCACGTTCTAAGACGTGGATAAAAGACCTTGATCCACTAATATCACCAAGTATTGGGTGTATTAGTTCGGAGGGTAATGTTGGCTACATATTTTGTATAAGTCAATTATAATTCAACGCGCGGTAGAATAAGGGTAATATGGGAAGACTATCCAAGTCTTCGATCGTGATCGTACACGTGGCAGTTAGTATTGGTTCTTACAGGATCTGCGTAGCACTGGATCAGCAAAGAGATGCAAAGTGATGTGGCTTCAACGGTTACTCACATTTAAATTCAAATTCGGGAGGGAAGCCTAACTGCAAGTAATGGCATAGTGGAGCTAACTATAAGGCAACATGATTAGCGATCATGGAGGAGCGATTCGACGGTTAGAGGTGCAGTTCAATGGTCATCCTTGAGAAGTATAAATAGCATAGAAAGCCCCAGAAAAAGCCCCAGACTCAGATCTAAAAAATCAGTTTTATCTAATTTATTTCCTTTCCAGTTTTACATTTCCTATTCTTTGTATTTCTGTACTTTAAAATTCCTGCACTGCACTTCGTTCGTAGGAGTAGTTTCAAGTAAATTGTTGCTGTAAACCTCTGCGAGACTGAATTGGATCATTGTAAGTCTTTCGTTTTACTTAATGAAACACTGCAATTGTTCTTCATATTAATCATTGTCAGTTTATTCTTCCTAAGTAAAGTCACCAGTAAAAGTCCTCTTTGTCGAGACTGAAAGAACTAAAACACAATCGTCTGATAATTGGTTGACAATTAAATTTCTGTAAGGATTGATTGATCCTTGCTGGCACGCTCACAATTACAAAAATAACTTTCGAAAGCTAAAAAAGCCAACAGTAATTTAACATTTTAATATACTATGTGGATTGATTGATCTGTCTTCGATTTTTTTCATTCTAAAATTTTGAATATTTTGTTTTCCAATGCTTTATCTTTTTTAAATTTTTAAAATTATTCATCCTTGACTTAATGGATATTGATGAAAGAATTGAAAATAATTTATGAATAATTTTTTTTATCAAATTTAAATTTGAGAGAAACAAAAAAGAGGAATTAAGAATGCTCTAATAAAAACAAAATATAAAATGTATTTAATGCAAGGGGAATCACATGCAGTTATGGGAAGCAGAAGAAAATTATGAATACATGGGATGTATGTATATTTGTGGAATCACATGCTCTAATAAAAAAGAGGAATTAAGGAGTTGTTGGAGATGACCTAAATAAGTGTATTTTTTATCTTTTTACGAAAAGATGTACAGAAAAGTAGAGAGGTGATGTGATAAAAAAAAGATAAAAAGATAAAAAGATAAATTATTTTTGAGTTGCCAAATTTGATGTCAGAATGCTCTAATAAAAAAAAAAATATAAAATGTATTTAATGAAAGGGGAATCACATGCAGTTAAGAGAAGCAGAAGAAAATTATGAATACATGGGACGTATGTATATTTGTGGAATTACATGCTCTAATAAAAAAGAGGAATTAAGAATGCTCTAATAAAAACAAAATATAAAATGTATTTAATGAAAGGGGAATCACATGCAGTTAAGGGAAGCAGAAGAAAATTATGAATACATGGGATGTATGTATATTTGTGGAATCACATGCTCTATTAAAAAAGAGGAATTAAGAATGCTCTAATAAAAAAAAAATATAAAATGTATTTAATGGAAGGGGAATCACATACAGTTAAGAGAAGCAGAAGAAAATTTTGAATACATGGGATGTATGTATATTTGTGGTGGGATACAAATTTACACCCTTTTTTATTTGATAACTCAGAATGTTCGGGTCGAGTTTCGCGCACTTCGATTAATTTTTGGGAGATCAATCCCATCGTTTACTAGCGGGGGCCCATTTAAAGTCAGAATAAAACTCCGTATAGACTGACTTAATATAAGAGTTGATAACACCTAAGAGGTTTTGAACTTGAGACTTAGAAATGAGCAAATTCCTAAGTCCCAAGCCTCTACCACTAGGCCAACCTTTGGGGGTTAAATTTACACCCTCTTATATATCGATAAGGGTGAATTATACTAATCGTTTCTATAGTTTAGAACTTATGTTACTTTAATCTTTGACTTTTTAATTGTGATACATTTGATATTAAATTTTAAATTTTATTTCAAATAAGGACAATTGAAGATATTATTGCCCAATTTTAAGGGCAAAATTATCAATTTGATAAAGATATAAACGAATTTGACAAAAATAAATATTAAAAAAATACTTTTAAATTTTTAAAAATTATTTCTACCAACCAAAGATAAAATTATGTAAAATGATAAATCTTTTACACATTTATTTATTTATTTTATCAAATTAATTTTTATTATGTGTTTGGATGATGGTCATGTAATGGGTGGATGTTAGACTTTTAATGTGTAATCAATATATTTAATATACGAAATGTTTTTAGTTTTGAATTTTTTGATTTAATAGATTGGTTTAATAATGATATTAAAATTGTCGCCATATTTGACTTTTAGAAAAATAAAAACTAATTTAATGAAAATAAAAATAACCACCCATTATATAATCATAATCCAAACACATAATAACAATTAATTTAGTCAAATAAATAAATAAATAAATGTGTAAAAGATTTATCAATTTTACGTAATTTTATCTTTGATGAGTAGAAATAATTTTTAAAAAATTCAAAATATATTTTTGACATTTATTATTGTCAAATTAATTTTTATTTTATTAAATTAACAACTTTATTTTTAAAATTCATCAATGACATTTTCAATTATTCATATTTATAATAAAATTTAAAATTTAGGATAATGTCACATTTGAAAAGGCTCCAAAATTATAGAAACGACTAATGTAATTCGCCTTATTAATAATTTTTTTTTTCATTCTCCCAACTTAATATAAATCCTCGTGAAAGAGGAGCGGGAACAAAGGGTGTTCGGTCTCTGTCCCATCTGTTTTCACATCATTCATTCTTCCGCAAATCTTTGTTCTCAATTGACTTTATGCCATAAAAGATGCACAGGACTCTTGCTAAACTAGAAGAATGTAATGATTATAGGTTGGATGTGATGTTTTGTTTGTTATGGCTAAAATAGCCTATTTTGTTTTTTGTGGCTAAAATAGCCAAAAAAGCCTGAAAAAGCCTTGCCAAACGGAGGCTTAATATAAATCCTCGTGAAAGAGGAGCGGGAACAAAGGGTGTTCGGTCTCTGTACCATCTGTTTTCACATCATTCATTCTTCCGCAAATCTTTGTTCTCAATTGACTTTATGCCATAAAAGATGCACAGGACTCTTGCTAAACTGTGCCACAAATCAATCAGATACTCTTGCGTTTACCACAATCGTCTGTTCTCTCTGTGCCAACGTCTTAGTACCATCTCCACCTTAACCAACACTATTGACAGAAACCCATTTGAATCACCAGGTCTTAGCTACTCCACTCCTGTAGAATTGCACCATTTGAGCCGTGTCTTGCAAGAATGCGCTGATTCCAGAGATTTCCAGACTGGTTTATCTGTCCATACCCTACTCCTAAAGCTTGATTTTGATCAGTTTATCTCCTTATGGAACAAGCTTCTAAGTATGTACTGTAAATGTGATCAGTTTTTTATTGCTCGTCGTGTGTTTGATAAAATGTCTAAAAGAGATGTTGTTTCTTTCAATACGATGATTTCGAATTGTGTTCGTTGTAATTATTGTCTCGAAGCTGTCTCTTTCTATCACAAGATGATAGAAGAGGATGCCAAGCCCAATCATATCACTTTAGCTGGGTTGATTGGAGCTTGTGATGGTTTAGGAGCTGAACGACTGAGAGGCGTCTTTCACGCACAAGCAATTCGGTATGCATTGAGTTCCAATGAATATGTGGGCTGTTCCTTGGTTGATGGGTATGCAAAGCAAATGAGATTAGAAGATGCTATTAGAGCATTTGGTGAGATTACAGAACTGGATTTGGTTTCGTGGAACATTATGATTGATGCGTGCGTGCGAAACTATAATAAAGAACATGCTTTAAGAATTTTCACTCAGATGCAACAAAAGAATGTGGAATATGATGGATTTAGCTTGACTAGTATCACAAAGACATGTTTGGAACCCAGAGATGTCTATCTTGGGAAGCTGCTCCATTGTTGCGCTATAAAAAATGGTTTGACTTGTGAAACACCTATAAGCAATGCCCTTATTACAATGTACTCAAGATGTGAAGGAGGAATGGAGTCTGCCGTGAAAATTTTTGGGGGAACTTTAGCTCCTAACATTATCTCTTGGATTGCAATGGTTACAGGGTTCATGCAAAATAAACAAAATGAGCAAGCAATTGGGTTGTATCAGAATATGCTTAGATTGGGTGTGAGAGATAATGATTTCAGCTTTGCTAGTATCCTTTCAGTGTATAGTAATTTGGCAAACCTCGAGCATGGGAGGCAAATTCATGCTAGGATTGTCAAGTCATGCTTTGGATTGGATCTTTCTGTTAACAATGCTCTAATAGATATGTATTCCAAGTGTGGCAACTTAGAAGAAGCTCACTTGGTGTTTAGGACAATGGGAAAACATGACAAGATTTCTTGTACGACAATGATTACAGCTTTTGGCCACCATGGCCAAGGGAAGACCGGCTCTTTCTATTCTCGATGAAATGACTAGGGAAGGATTAAATCCTGACGATGTTACGTTTCTTGGGTGTCTTTCTGCATGTAGCCATGGCGGTCATGTGGATGAAGGGGTTTGGGTTTTCAGGATGATGGTTGATATTTATAATCTTAAGCCTAGAAGGGAACATTTTTCTTGTGTTGTTGACATGTTGGGTCGTGCTGGTAGGTTAATTGAAGCAGAGAGTTTTATTGAAGAGATGGGGATTGGATCAGATTTTTTTGTATGGGAAACATTGCTCGGGGCTTGTAGGCTTCATGGAGAAATGGGTTTAGGAGAAAAGTCGGTGAAAAAGATTATTGGGTTACAACCAAATAAGCATGGGTCTTATGTGTTGTTAGCCAATATGTATGCTGACCGGGGATTGTGGGATGACAAGGGACTTGTGTTGGAGAATTTGGCTACAAATGGATTGAAAAAAGGGGCTGGATGTAGCTGGGTTGCATGAGTTCTTAGTTATGACAGCAACAGTTTCAGGGAAGGCTGAATAATTTGAAAATCATCATGTTTTCATAGTTGCAGCTCAGCACATCATAGAACAATGAAATATCAGTTGAAATTGCTCTTGGATTGAAAGAAATCTCAGCCTTGAGTATTTAAGTCTCTTGTGAAGTATAGTTTTAGGGCAACTCGTAAAATTTAGCTTGGTGGTGTTGGAAGACATCATTAGTGTGATTGCAAAGAAGATGAAATTTTTCTGTACATTATTTATTAAATGGAAATGAGGTAGCCAATCTGTCGGCTCAAAAGCTCCATACAAGAGGTCATACGCAGATAACTCTTTCATCAATTTGTAAGTTTTGATTCTCCTAGTTATTTGGGAGCATCTCATTTTTAAGGCATAATGACATTCCTCTTTCTGCAGGTAAAAATTCCATCTATGTTCTCAATGAGACATCTAACATGCATAAATCTTCTGTTATTTGTTGCCAACCTCAGCTTTGTCACACATTTGCCACTCTTCGGAATGAAAGGTAATCTTCTTTCCTGCTCAGGTTCAGAATCTCATTTGTTTAAGTGTTGATTCCTCCTTTCATTTAAATTATTTAGCATCATTATGTGAAGATATTCATTTAACTTGTTTGATTTAGAGGGTGCAACGAAAATTGGTTACTCACAGAACCCCATAATTTCACAAAACATATACAGAATGAATAATTGGCCCACTTCATTTTTTTTATTGTCATTAATAAATTCAAGATCTAAACGTTAACACTACAATATTATGCACATGATAAGTTTCTTTGTATTTTCTTCCTCTTGCACATCAGAGGAGGAATAGAAAAACAAGATAAAATTGTTAAGTTGTGAACCACTAATTCATTAAAAATCTTAACGGTTAGAGAAATTATAACTTAAAATCTTTTTGCTAGATTATTGTTTTGATCGGCAAAGGAAAAAAATTATTGATGTAAAAAGAGTAAGAATAATAGAAGTTCTCGAATAATACAATCAATAAAAAAAGACTGAGTAATTTATCAAAAAAAAAAAAAAAAAAAAAAAAAAAAACTCAAAAGGAAAAAAAAAAAAAAAAAAAAAAGACTGAGTAAATTGTATCATTGTTAAAGAACACATTCCAACTAAGTTGGTACATGTTCTAAACCAATCATCTAAAACACCATAGCTTCAAGAGACAACTGAAAGGCTTGGCAAAGACACCAAACCAACTAAAAACACCAAAAACAAAAGATTAATAACAAGAAACACACTAAAATACACAACAATTAATTGCATTATCACATTACATTCACCAAAACAGTAATGACTTCCCTTCCAAGAGACCCTTGTTCTGCAATAGATCCTTGCACCTTATCATCAAACAGCAAGAGAAAGGAACATGAGTAACAAACACCATGTGTGGCTAGGCTCTACATTCCAAGCGGGCCAAAGACGTGAAAATATTTTATGTATAGACTTCGAGGCTCGAACATAGAACGTTGTCTGCTATGATATCATATTATAAACCACCAACTTATTTTATCAACAAAATCAGATACACAACCAAAGACGTGTAAGTTTTTTTTTCTTTCTCTTCTACTCTCTCCCCCCTTTTCTTTTCTTTATTATTTTCTCTTCTCTCTCTCTCTCTCTCTCTCTCTCTCTCTCTCTTCCCCTAATAGGGCTTAATTCAGTTACCTCTCCATGGCCAATAACATGGCTAAAGATTTATTTGCTTGGAAAGAATTCTCTACACTGAATTTGAAGGAAAACATTCAGATCACTGCTTGTTAATCATCTAAAAGATTCCAAAGGTCCACATTATTGATAAAAATGTCACTCCAATTCCTCTGGTTTTCTTGAATTGAAGTGTCATCAGTTGTCTTCAACCCTGGCTGCTCAGTATAGCCACCTATCGACCAAGTGATTTCCACGTCAACCATCATGTTATCCAACCACCATGCTCCTCCTCCATCTCCTGGTTGTGCTGATGTTGGAAATGGCTTGGTGAGGTTGTCTCTTGTTTGAGTATTATCTATAATGGTGGTTTTGCTCCTCATCTGAGGTTGTTTTTTTTGACAAGGTCCGAGGTTTAGGCTGTATAATTCTGGATTCCATGGCCTTCTGAACGTTGGCTTTCACTTTTTCTCTTTCGGATATCAACTTCTTTTGCATTTGGGTGTTCCAATAGTTCTTAATATCTTTCACTGTTCTTCCCGGTAGTCTACCTGCAATTAGCAACCATCTGCTTGAAGAGAAAAACTTGTAAAGTTAAAAAATGTTGAAGGAGACCAAATCGAAAATCGACAAAGCATGAAAGGGCATCAAATGCTAACTAAAATAGAGACATATATACATTAAAACAAACTTTAACATTGTATGGCGAAGAGACTGCCTGGCCTGTGTTTCGGACTAAGATTAGGAAGAAAATGGTGATATCTAATCCCTCTCCACAATCAAGTGCTGAGATAACTGACAATAATGTAGAATATTGTACCAGCAAAGTTATATGTTACAATAATTTTACACTTGCCTGTTGCCTAACAACTTATGAAGCTTGATCATCAGATCACATCAGAAAATTATTAGTCTACATGCTACTCTTGGCCAATAAGTAATGGGTTATTCTTCATTTTCAAATTACCTAACAAAGATGAGTTGGCAAATAAAAAATGTCACATGGTGCTCTGAACTACTGAATAATTACCCAAACACATAACAAGAATTTAACACTTGAAATGGATAATTACCCCGCTCTCATACCTGCTCTATGAGGAACTTGGTGCCACTTTGATTCACCATAGAATGCATGCATAAGGGAGTGTGTGTGATGTGTATATCTATCTACCTATGAGACTTCAATAAACTAACCCATGTGCATTGTTAGAGCACCTCTTCCTCTGCCCAATTCTATTACTTGCAATCTCTCAGTTTTAAATGCAATTTTTATACCTCCTCTAACTTTGAAGCCTCTGACGTGGATTTTTTTCTACCACAAGACCATATCCTCATATTTTAAAATTTATGAACCAAATTTATACTGTTGATTCAGATGCAGACTATATAATATTTTTGCTACGTCTAACTTTGAAACTCCTAAGATATGAATATGAATTTATTAACAAAACACAACATTCGATTGGTTAAGGAGTGACCTAACACTTTTTAGGTCCTTAGGCAAAATTTAAACTAGGCATTTTATTTCTAAATATTAACTTTTTACATTGAAAATGTTATTATATAATATTCATGTTTCTTGCATATCCATTACAGTAATTAAAACAGGTTTTACTGCATTTATTCATGGGAGGTAATTAAACTGTTCCAGTCTTTGGGTTCTAACATTTGAACCTAATAGTTAATTTAATTATGTAGTCCAAAACTAAACTAACTCCAAAAAATATAAAGCCCAAACTAATCTAGATAAATTTTTTAAATGATATTAATACAATGCATGAGTTTTGTATTTCCTTGAAGTCAAGTCCATTGGAAAGGTGAAAGCTTGTAGTTGAAGTCTCCATGATAAATCTTCATCACGGAACATGTTCAAGATTCAACTCAGCAAAAAATTTAAAGGGCAAAAAAAAAATCATGTACACATATTAGAAATGAAATTGCCAACCAAAAAATCACTAAAGAACAACTACACAGTCAACATTTTTCCTACTGGTCTCACTTTGACACACAAAAAAAAAAAAAAAAAAAAAAAATTAAGCAAAAAAATAAGCTGACTTATAATATGTAGAGCTGTAAATAGAAGGAGCTGCTCATGGGCTCATTTCGTTACATATATATCAATAGTGAGCCAAATTTTTAGGCTTGTTTAATAAACAAGCTGAGTTTGAGCTTGAAACTTGACTCGTTTGTTGTTTAATATTTAAATAATAAGATAAATATGTTATATAATATAGAATAAAATTTTATGAGTTGACCAAGTTTGATTATTGAGTTTTGAGCCAAGCAGTGCTCTTCTTACTTTTCAATCCGAGCTGAAGCTTGATTTTCTAGTTCAATAAATAAACAAGTCAAGCTCAAGCATTCTAAAAATTTGGCTCGGTTCTACTCGTTTGCAATTCTAATAATATGTGCCAAAAGAGGTAGGTGGAGTAGCCAAATCAACTTAAATTTGTATAGAATTGTGTTGAGGACCCAAACGCATGAAGACACACATGGGGGCATTGGCTACCACAAACACCAAAACTGGTTAGGATCTACAAAACTTTACACACAGACTTGAATGAGAAATAAGACTAAAAGTGTATGAGAGTGAATATAGAAGTCCACATCTGAATGGTGAAACAAGGAGGAGGAGATTTGTAGGCCACCACTTTCACATAACTTGCTCACTACTTTCCTAAACCCACCATTCAATTAAAACTTTTCAATGAGAGTTGAAGATGGCCTAACAAACCATTTAAACTAAAAACAAACTGTGTGAGTTTAATGGATTCTTAACCATGGTAGCTTTTCCGACCTGTTCTTGGTGACACAGAGCTTGAGAAAAGAAAATGGCGACGAAATAGAAAACAGAGATATAGGTATGAATGGAATAGAATAGAGAGACCAAAGTCATTAAGGATTCAAGTTCTCTATGAATGGAACAGACAGAGATAGCTGTTTCATTATCAATGATGGTGAAAGGTTCTCCTTGAGTTTATTTTAAATTTAAAAATAATTAAGAAAAGTATTAAAAACATAGCTCATTTACATTAAAAAAATTGACTATTTTTTTGGGAAAATTACAAATAAATGGGAAGACCAGAAACTAAACAAGTACAGGTAGAATGATGCAAAACGTGTACAAAATGACAGATACACTTTGTGAAATTATAAAGATGCCTTTTTATTTCTCTCTTTGCCCTTTACCATAACAGCAAAAGATGAAATTAAATATGAATATATTCGTGAATTGATAGTAACAACATCAATTGAAAATAAATTGGGAGAAAACATACTAATATAATTTAATCATGTGTCATGAAAACCTATATATGCAACCATAAAAAAAAATATCATCATAAATAAAAATATTGATAACAAAAAAAAAAAAAATTGAAAAAAAAAAAAAAAAAAAAAAAAAAAAAAAAATTTTGTCAAAAAAGTGACAAACCGTATTATCTATAACATTCTATAAAAGAATGAAAGCAAGCAGGTGTTGTGAATCTAACGCAACAAATTCTCCAATTTGCCCTGCTGACTATCTATAACCTATATTAAAAGCATAGAAACGCGTTATAATGCTCCTGCCTGCTTGCTTCCTTCCTAACGCTCTACAAGTGACAAATCGAACGCTTGGTTTTTCCAATTTCCCTTGAAGCTGCGTGTCCATCAGTCGAAATCCGAAGCTACTTGTCCAAGCGGTGCTCCATGTGCTCAAAAGAAAGCCTGCAATTGCAGCCGTCGAATTCTATGTTTTCTCAACTTCCTACACTACATATTTTCCATGATGACGTCCCTCACGTTGATGGGTGAAGACGAGTGTTTCGGTGGGTATCAAATGGACAACCAACCCAAATGATCCAAGTCTTGCTTCCGATTGATGGGTCTTTCTGTGGTCTCTCCTAGAACCTTCTTTGTTCGGTGCACCACTTGTCGACAAATAATTGGAAGCTTTCAATGAGAAGAGAAACAAACACAAGTTTCTTCTCAATTATCTTCACCTGAGGTTTGGGTTTCATGGTCCCCCTTCTTGGAACATGTTTTCTTTGTAGTGTTTGAGTTGTGATTTATACATTGATTATAGGTTTGTAGCCATTGAATATGCCTACGATGTGTTTGTGAATATGTTCATAAGAGAACCTACATGCTTACTTCTTTGGAAATTAGCCATCTATGTTGGGCATACAAAAACAAAATTGGTGGATTTGTAGATTTGAAGACACTACAATAAATTCAAAAACGAAGCATTGAAAAATTAAACCTTAAACCCAAAACCACCATCGACGGCCCCATATGTCTCTTTTGGGCGATTACTAGATTTTACATATCCAAAAGTTCATAGTATGTTGCCCATGACAGAACTTCCTTGAAAATTTATGTAGAATGATATTGTTTGTACTTTAGCTTTTGTCCTCATTGTGAGGTATACAACTTTCCATTTTTCCTCACATGTTTTATGTTTTGGTTTAGTGGACTTTTCATCCTTCCATTTTCAAGAACAAAAAAAATCTACACAGCTCTAATTTGGTGTAGGGTTCTGGCATTTTTATTTGTAAGTGCTTTTTATATTTCATATATTTTTTAAATTTCATTTTGTATATTAAAAATATTCTTTTGTGACCCATAAATTAATTGGTGATTGAAATGTTTGGGGATTAGGACTTATAGTTCAAAGTATATGAACATAGCAGTGGCAAGAATTCTTAGGACTAACTCAAGAATGCATCACAAGTTAGGAATGTTGTTTCTTCATTACATATCTTTTTAACTCAAGTACAAATTCTTCTTCATGTATTGCTGGTGCTACTATGATATTTGAATTCTTATAGATGTCCTATAAATGTCGACTGTGTCCATTTGTCTTCAGAACATCATTGATCACTTGAATGAATATGCTAACTTGAACGTAGCACTATAATCGGCGAAAATAATATTGAGGTCATTGATTAATTGCTAGAACACCTTTGTGTCAAATATGGCTTTGATGGATTGGATGGGGTTTCAGTTAGACTATAGTTTTTGACACAAGGTTTCAAGTTTTTTTTCCTTCTCTTTGGGAAAATAAATAAATGTTCATATGGGATTCTGAGATTCAAATTCTTCTTCTTCTTTTTTATTTTTATTTTTAATTTTTGAGTTTCATTTTTTGTGTCTTGGTGGTAGAGTAAGTTTTCTCATGTTTCACATAGTGTTTAAAAGTAAGACTTTCAGCTAGGCATGGAGACTCAAACAGAATTGCTTTAAGAGTGGCATGGAGACTCAAAGGTGTAATATTTAGAATGACGTCAAGCCTCTGAAATTTCTGTCATAATCTTAAACAAAGTTAACAACGATTATACAAATATTCAAATGCTTTCAAAGGACACAGTGGACTCATCTCATCTAAAGAGGGAATAGGAGAGCTGGGAAGATTCACAAAAGCCCATAATTTTAACACCTAAAAGTTACAAACAACTAACCAATCAAAAGGAGAAAAAAAAAAAAAACCTCTGTTGTCTTCACTAAAAGTTCCACTAACGTTAAAATGAATTTGCCGAATTAGGCAAAATAGTTGGGATTGTTTGACTGCTGGGGTGGCATGAATAGCACTGTACAACCTTTTCTCCTTAGCCTAGTTTCTAGATGTTTTTGTACGGCTGTAAAACACATCGTTCTTAATTCACTGAACTGGTTTTGGATTAGGAATAATGTATGATATTTTAGACAACACAAATGATGGGTGTGCTATTCTGAACTGCTTGCAACTTGTAGAGAATGTAATTTAGATGCTTGTGTATGATTGTCAAACACATTGTTCAATTATTCACTGAATTGGTCTCGGAGTAGGAATGACAGATATAATTATATCAGAACTCCATGAAATGAAATCGAATAATATTGACAACACAAGTGACGCTTGCCGATAATAATACTAAAGTTGTGGAACTTAAGGGGAATCTAATCTAATTTAAATATTTACGTGTCTTACTTGAAATCTTAAAATCAAATTCAAATTAAAATTTGAAAATTTTCAACTGCTCAAACCAATCTTAAAAAATTCAACTATTCAAATCAAATTCATATCAATCTTAAAATCACATGTAAACTAAATCTAAATTTTAACTATTCTGATTTCTGAAGTTCACTATGGTTTGGCTCGAAGGTTCAACGACAAATGAATTGAAAAATGATACGAAGGGGATGATGTACACAATTTTTGTTCTTTTTTTTTTTCTTCTTTTCCTGGAAACATAAAAACTTCATCTAGGTAAACTAAGGCCTCGTTTGGGAACAGGCTAATTTAGTAACTTTTTGGCTATTTGGCTAAAAAGGTAGGTAAAAAAAACTTGTATGTTTGGTATGACTTTTTGGCTAATTACGAAAAGATGTGCAAAAAGGAGAGAGAAAAGAGAATCTTTGACTTTTTAGTATGGGTTGTTGGCTTTTTGGCTAATTTAGTAACTTTTTGGCTAATTGGCTAAAATAGCCTATTGCCAAACGAGGCCTAAATCAGGTTTTTAAAATGTATTTGTTTGCTAAATGCAGATTATGAAACTTTAAGAGCACTTGATTTTGATAATGCTCCCACAGTTCCTTCAATGAGTGAGGAAGAGATAAATGTTCTTCCTGTTTACAAAGTTGCTAGCTGCCAAAGGTTAGTTATCAAGTACCAAAAGTTTGGGTTTCTGTCTAAGCAAAATAAGTGGAAAATTTTAGTTGGTGGATCTCAATTGATATTGTTTACAATAAGGTTATGTCTTGGATGGAAAACAAATACTGTGGAGTGTAGAGCAATGTAGGTGAAGGCAATATGTGCAACCACATCGTTTCAAAATTTGTACATATTTTGTCATAATTCAATGGGAAAACAGTGGCAGTAGGATACCCGTGGCTGCTGCAATAGAAATATGACTCGGGTTTGTTGTCTTGTGTTAAAAGGCTATTCTTTGTGCCTGCATCTCTTAGGTTGTGAGATGCTTTCCTATCTTGGTTAAGTTCTAAGGACGTCAGCTTGTTCTGTTTCTATATTCCCTACCTTGTTTTGTGTGAGTTTTCTATTCCATTCATATGTTATTGACAAATTAGTAAGTTAATTTCATTTACATTCATTAAGCCCTACATCATGATATGGTTTTATGCTCAATTTTCTATGCTTAAATATTTATTTGCCACTTAGAAATTGGGATAAGTTGTTTTGATTGTAAAGTTGGGTTGATGAATTAAGGAAGTTTATGAAAGTTAAAGTGTATGTGTGAGAAATCAATTTTAACCATTAAACATGAGATGCTCTAGTGGACAATGTTCCATGTAGATTACATTTTTTTATCTCTTCTTTTCACTTCAAGACAGAAGTGAGCCTGTTTTACATACGTTTATGAATGTGAATCTCATTGCTTTGTGTTTAGGAGTGAAAAATAAGATAAAAATAAAATTATATATAGAATTATTTTTAAATTACATAACACTGTCATACAAGAATGTGCTAAAATGACACAATCAACAATGCCACGTGTGACAATCAATGATGCTGCGACCCCCAAGCGCGAAGCGCGTGGGGGGCCATCTAGTAAAGTTGAAGAATGGCCAACATATGTACCACAACATAAAACTCAATGGTTTTCCATTAAGAAAATGTAGAGTTATTACCTTGAACACAAATACAACGTTTGAGTCATCAATCCAACATGCATTTGGGTTTGAATCTGTTGAGAATCTAATTCAAACATGTCCAGATTTATTTTAGTGAGTCCATTTCATGTTTGAGTTCAAGTTAGTGGTCTTTGACTTATTCAAAGTAGTGGTATGTAGTTTCAGCTTATGTAGGGATTGTGTCAAGTGGTGTCATAGTTTTTAGGATAGTTGGTTTAGTGGATAGTGTTAATTATTGTTCATAGGTCTGTTGCTATTTTTCAGGTAGTGGAGTTAGTCGATAGTTCTCTATTTAAAGAGCATTGTAGAGTCCAAGTTTGTGTGGACAAAGAATTAAAAAAATTGTTTTCTTCTTCAATCTCTGTGTCTAGCATATATTATTTTTGTTTAAGAAATCTACAGTGTGGTATCAGAGCCAGGTGGAGGGCTGGAAGAAAGCAACAAGAGTTTACAGCAGTGACATTGACTGCAATGTGTTTTTAGAAAAGTGTGAGTATTTTGGAACTCATGGCAGGTAATACAAATACAACTTCAATTTCTCTACAAAGTGTTCCCATATTTAATGGAAACAATTATCATTTTCTAGTCTATTAAAATGAAGACATTATTTGCATCCAATGATTTGTGGGACTTAGTAAAGAATGGGTATGAAGATTTTGCTGAACAAGAAAGGGTGTCAGCAGCACAGAGGAATGAATTGAAGGAGAAACAGAAGAATGATGCAAAAGCCTTATTTATGATCCAGCAGGGCTTGGAGGACACCATATTTCCAAGAATCATGGCTGCCACTACATCAAAAGAAGCATGGGACTTGCTCCAAGAAGAATACCAAGATACGTTGAAGATAATCACAGTTAAGCTCCAAACTCTTCGTCGTGAATTTGAGAACTTGTATATGAAAAATTCTGAGAGTATTCAGGATCTTTTCATAAGATTCACTTCTATTGTGAATCAAATTCGATCATATGGAGAAGAGTTGTCCGATCAGAAAATTATTGAAAAGGTGTTAAGGAGTCTTACTCCTAAATATGATCACATAGTTGCTGCTATAGAAGAATCTAGGATCTAACCACTTATTCTGTGAATGAACCAATGGGTTCACTTCAAGCTCATGAACAAAGGCTGCAGAGGACAGCAGAGAACACAATGAGCAAGCATTTCAGTCAAAGGTAGATTTAAATAAGTGCTCAGAAGGTCTTGGAAGAGGACACAGTGGTATAGGTAGGGGACGTGAAAATGCATCTCGTTGAAGAGGAAGAGGCAAATTTAATGCCCAACAGAGATACTTTATTGGAGGTGACAATGCTTACTCTACTCCATGTTCACATTGTGGAAAAACAAATCATGAAGACAAGGATTGTTGGTTTAAAACCAAAACAGCTCAAAATAAAAATGTTCCACAGTGGTATAATTGCAAGGAGTTTGGCCATGTTAAGAGAAATTGTTTTAAAAAGGCTAGGGAGCAAGCCGATTTTCATGAAGAAAAAAAAAAAAAAAAAACTAATGAAGAACATGAAAACCTGTTTGTAGCATGTCATTGCTCATGTTGAAATGAATGAAGAAATTTGGTATTTAGATAGTGGGTGTAGTAATCACATGACTGGAAACAAAAGTTATTTTGAGGAAATTGATGAATCTGTGAAACCATTAGTGAAAATGGGTAGTAATAGTGAAGTTCAGGTACAAGGAGTTGGAACTATCAGAGTAGCAACCATGATTGGAAGAAATTTTATTAATGATGTCATGTATGTGCTTGGTTTGGTCCAGAATTTATTGGGCTTGTTTGGTTTGTTTTTGGGAGAGTTGTTTTTGAAAAAATTTTGGGGAGAGAGTTTAAATTTTTTTTTGGTTTGTTTGGTTGTATATTTTGGGAGAGTTATTTTTTTGGGAGTTTGGGATGATTTGATATTTTGGGAGAATTTGAGTAGATGTGTGTGAGAGAAAAAGTGATTGAGAAGGAGAGAGGAGAGAGGAGAGAGAAAAAGTGATTGATTGATGTGTAAGAGAGAGAAAGTGATTTTGGAAATTTTTTGAAAAAAACTCAAACCAAACAATTTTTTAGAAATTTTTTTCTAAAACTCATCTCCCAAATGCAAACCAAACATACCCATTGAGTTTGGGTCAACTATTAGAGAAGGGTTACTATGCTGTTTTTGACGATGAGGAATGCGTGCTTTATGATAAGAAAAGCAAGAATTTGGTTGAGTATCAAAATGACAGCAAATAAGATGTTTCTTGTTGTGTTCTCAAACCTTTCATACAATGCATTCTGTGCATCTCGTGAAGAGTCCATATTGTGGCATAGGCGGTATGGTCATTTGCATTTTGGTGCGTTGCATTTGTTGCATAAATTGGATATGGCAACTGGTTTTTCATCAGTGAAAAATGATGCCTATGTGTGTGAAGCTTGTGTTCTCGGCAAACACCATAGGGAAAAATTCCCGAAGGAAAAATCTTGGCGAGCAGATAAGCCGTTGTTGCTTGTGCATGCTATATGTGGTCCTATGCAAACATTGTCCTCGAGTGAAAACATATACTTTATTTTGTTTGTTGATGATTGCACTAGAATGACGTGGCTTTACCCCGTGAAAGAAAAGTCAGAGGCTCTCTCAATTTTCGAACAATTTAAATTAATTGTTGAAAATCAATCTAGTTGCACTATTGTCACATTACGTACTGGCTGTGGTGGTGAGTTTACTTCCTATGAGTTCAGGATGTTTTGCAATAGCATGGGCATTCATAGACAACTGATAGCAAGTTACACCCCACAACAAAATGGCGTTGCGGAGTGTAAGTGTTAAAACCTATCACCTACTTCACCCACTTAAACCTACTCCAGCCAAATTGCTATTGGGCTGAAGCAGTTTTGACAGCTGTATATTTGATTAATCACTTTCCAACAATAGCTGTTAGAGGCAAGGCTCCGTATGAAGCTTAGAGCGGGAGAAAACCCAATGTAAGTCATTTGAAGATTGGGTGTATAGCACATGCATTTGTACCATCTGAACAAAGACAAAAGTTAGATGATAAAAGTACAAAATGCATTTTCTTAGGCTATAGTGAGGAGACAAAAGTATATAGACTTTATGATCTTATTGCCAAAAAATTGATCATAAGTTGAGATGTAATATTTAATGAGAATGAAGCTTGGAGATGGGATGAAGATGAAGTTATCCCACTTGAACAACCTGCCCCTGTGAGGAGGAAGTATATGTTGAACAACCCAAAGGCTTCGTGATTGAAGGGATGGAACATAAAGTATACAAACTAAAGAAGGCAGTTTATGGGCTCAAGCAAGCACCAAGAGCATGGTATAGTAAGATTGACAGGTATTTTTTGGAAAATGGTTTTCATAGAAGTGTTAGTGAACCTACTCTTTATGTGAAAACTCAAGGGAATGATGATATCTTGATTGTATGCATATATGTTGATGATATGATATGTACTGGGAATTCTTTTGACTTGATGAAATGGTTTAAGGAGAGCATGATGCAGAACTTTGAAATGTCTGACTTGGGTCTTTTGCACTATTTTCTCGGCATTGAAGTAATTCAAAACTCAAGTGGCATTTTCATATGTCAAAAGAAATATGCCATGGACTTGTCGAAAAAGTTTGCCATAGCAAATTGTACTCCCACAAGGACACCTATGAATGTAAATGAGAAGTTGCTTTTGGCGGATGAAGATGAGTTGGCAAATGGGAGGACTTTCAAAAGCATGGTTGGAGCTTTGATATATCTTACTTATTCAAGACCTGATATTATGTTTGTTGTGAGTATTGTTTCCAGGTTCATGCATCATCCAAGCAAGCATCATTTTGGAGCAGCAAAGAGGATTTTAAGATACATTCAAGGCACTCTCAATTTTGGAATAAAATATTCCAAAGTCACTAACTTTAAACTGATTTAATTCACTGACGGTGATTGGGCAGGCTGTATAGATGACAGGAAAAGCACTACAGGCTACGTCTTTAGCCTTTGCTCTGGAGTTATATCATGGGCATCAAAGAAGCAGACTACTATGGTTCTTTCCAGCACTAAAGCAGAGTATATTGCTGCCACTGCTACAGCTTGCCATGCAATTTGGCTGTGAAGGATCTTCTGTGATTTCAAGGAGAAACAAAGTAGTCCAACATGTTTGTTTTTGACTACAAGTCTACTATCGCTATGGCAAAGAATCTTGCGCATTAAGGAAGGACTAAGCATATTGAAATATGCCATCACTTCATTAGAGAAAATGTGGCCAAAGAAGAAGTGGAGATAGAACATTGCAACACCGAAGATCAAATGACAGATGTATTCACAAAAGCTTTGTCAGAGGAAAAATTCAAGAAGTTTCATAGCATGATGGGTGTACAACCATGTTTGAATTAAGGGGGGCATGTTGAGAATCTAATTCAAATATGTCCAGATTTATTTTTGTGAGTCTGTTTCATGTTTGTGTTAAAGTTAGTGGTCTTTGACTTATTCAAAGTAGTGGTATGTAGTTTCAGCTTATGTAGGAATTGTGTTAAGTGGTCTCATAGTTTTTAGGATAGTTGGTGTAGTAGATAGTGTTAGTTATTGTTCATGGGTCTGTTGCTATTTTTCAGGTAGTGGAGTTAGTGGCTAGTTCTTTATTTAAAGCGCATTGTAGAGTCCAAGTTTGTGTGGAAAAAGAATTAAAAAAATTCAGTATTTTCTTCTTTAATCTTTGTGTCTAGCATGTATTATTTTTGTTTAAGAAACCTACATAATCAAAATGCGTTCACTGTAGGTCCCTAAAACAATATGGGTCGAAATTGAATTAGATTGAAAACACAAACCCATCGGACACCTATGGGATTGGGCAACACCATTTATTGGAAAACATACACAACCTTAAAAAGAGTAAGGGTTAATTACACTAACACTCCTAACTATTAGTAAATATCACTTTGATCTCCTTATTTATGAACCTATACATTTTAACTCTCTCAATTATAAAAATATATCACTTTCATCCCTTCCAGACCACCTTCACCTTCAAAAGGGATGTATTTATACGATTTTCATAATTAAGAGAGTTAATACGTATGAGTTCATAAATGAATGAGTCAAACTGGTATTTGTTAATAGTTAGGAGTTTTGGTGCAATTAACTCAAGAGTAATGATGACAAAATGTGTACTGTGTTTCCTTATTGGTGAAACTACCTTGATGAGGCATTTGAAAAATATCATTAATTATCACGAGACTCATTGGATAATAAATCTACTTATTATGATCTACACATAAGTCTTTTTTTTTTTAATTGGGTGTCCAGATCAGTTTGTGCGCAATTCGACTAATTTTAAAGTTATGAAATTAACGATTGTACAAATTTTCAATGATCTTTTAAAATGACTCAAACTCAAGATATTAAATTTTATTTTTTAAGTTTTTATTGTTTGGCTAACCCTTTAAGATTATGGACGAGGAGATATTTAAGCTATCCAATCCTCTTGATTATCATCTAATTTCCCAACACCCACCATTCAATATCAAACAACAACCCACACACCATTCAATATCAAACAACAACTAAATCAAGCCCATCTTTAGTGTTGTTGATCCTAGTGTGCTTTACTCAGTTTTGCTGGGTATGCCTATTGATGTCAGGCCGGTAGACATTCGGACCCAAGTGAAAATTTAAAATTGGGATCTTTCATATATAATATAAAAAAATTATTTATTTAAAATTTTACCTTGAAGGTTTATAATGTAAATTCAAAGTTATGAGCCATACTTATAATGAGTGAGGCATATAGATATGTTTTTTGAGTTAATTTTTAAGAGTATATAAGGTTAATGTATACATTGAAAAATCCAAATAATCTCCGAGATATTAATTTGTGATTATATTTCAATTTTAAGTAATGAATAACTCTCCTAATCAAACAAGTAAAGACAAATCAATACAACGATTTAACGTGAAAAAATAACAATTGGAGCGCCTTTAATTGTGATAAAAAAAAATCACAGACCAAAGTCACAAAACAATCTACTAAGAAGACAAAAAAGAATTACACGTGTACTCTCAATTACCTAGTGAATCCACGTCTGAATTGAGCCGACCCTGATGTACTTCTTCCACCATCGTCTTTGTCTCGGAATTGTCTTGTCCAACGTTGAATCCACAACGCCGATGTCGAATCCACGACGATGAGCCACTTCGGAATCCATTAAAGCTTCAGACCCAAATTTTTCAAAATTTACCGCAGAACACCACTCTCTTTTGTGAATAAAAAAAAACAAACAAACAAACCCCTTAATGATGTTAATATGAAGTTCATAGATCTATTGATAACTCTCAAATCATCAAGGAAATACTCAGAAAAATACCCTTCAATATAGAAAACCTTGGTAGCTTTGCTCTTTCAAAATTTGGACGGCCTAAACCCTAAAAACAGTGAACGGTGCATTTTATAGAAAACAGAACCCGTGAAGACCGCTCGAGTGACCACTTTATCGCTTGAGCTAATTCACTAAAACGTGTGCCCAT